GCCGAGACCGCATTCCGCTTCTACCCTCACACGGTGGCCGGCGGCCCCTGGGTTTCAGCGGCTCCTGCTCCCAGGCGCCTCAGGACAGCAGCTAGGCACCCCCGTGTGGGCCAGCCCCCTCCGTGTACGGGGCGGGGATGGCAGAGCGCACGTGGCTTCTGTCTCCCTGCCACGCTCACGCGGTGACACATTCACAAGTCCCCGGCGCCCAAGGGCACGCAAACTACCTGCCTTTCCTCCCCCTCCCCCTTCGTTTCTTCAACGGGCACTTAGTGAACTCTGGGACCCAGAAGTCAAACAGGCAAAACCCCTGCCCTCACAGAACATACTTTCCAGCTCGGCAGACGGACGATGCAGAAACAAATCATGAAAGTACACAGGGTGAGGTGGCGATAAGCAAAAAGGGATGGGGAGTCCGGGAGAGTGGGTGCAGCTTGAAACAGGTCCTCAGGGAGGGACTCACTGGTGACACTTAAGCAAACACCAGAGAAAACCACGAGAGTGAGAGAACTGATTCACTTGGCTGGATCTGAGGAAAGAGCATTCCATGCAGAGGGCACAGCCTGTGCAAAGGCCCTGTGGACGGAGGGAGACGACCGTGCTACAGGAACAGCAGGGAGGCTGGTGGGCTAAAGCCCAGGGAGTGAGATGGAAGATGGCAGAGGAGGATCCAGATGCACAACAGGGCTGGGCACACGGGGGTCACAGGTCCTGGGTGTGATTGGGAGCCATGGGGGAGGTGGGGAACCGAGAAGGCACCTGGCCAAAATTGGTGTCTATTTTTAGGTAAGCTCCACGCCCAACGTGGGGCTTGAACTCACAACCTTGAGATCAAGAGTCACATGCTTAACTGACTGAGCCAGCCGGGTGCTCCTGAAACGGTATTTTAAAATAATCTCTCTGGTTGCTAAGTTGGGAATCGGCGGGGGGCGGGGGGGCAGGGCAGTGGGGAGAGGTGGGATTCTGGGCACATTCTGAAGGTGGGGACAATTTGCTCATGGACTGGACACAAGTGAGAGAGAGGGGGTCAAGACCGACTCCCAGGTTGGGGTTCCGGGCGTGGAAACAATGGGCCTGGCGTGGCCTGGGCCGGGGGGGCTGGGGAGATGGGGGGCTTGGGTGTGTCCAGGAGACACTGCGTTTGAGTCACTCCTGGGACACCCGGGTAGGCGGGCAGGTGGAGCTTTGAGGCTGAAGACATCCACCGGGGAGTCGAGAGTCTGCAGGCGGTGTCCACGGCCATCAAGCTGGGGGCTCGCTCCCCCTCACTCACCAGGTCCTCCACGTGCTAACCCTCCGGTGTTCTCTCGCCCTGACCGATGAGGACAGCGGGGCTCCGAGAAGTCACAGGAAGTGCTGCCGGCCACCGCGCCCGTCAGCAGCCACCACGCCCGTCAGCAGCCACCACTCAGACCCTCGCTGCGGGGCTCACTCCCTGGGAGCTACCGGAACTTCTCCGGCTGTGTCCTGGGCCAAGTGAGGGTCCCCTCCCCAGCAGGTGCACACGCCGCTCTTAGAGAACAGGGCGCCACCCTTGGTCGCCCCGTGTCCTCTCCGCCCATTCCGGAAACCCCGGCCCAGACTCCACACGCAGCAAGCGTCCGGAAGCTGCAGACTCCCATATGACTCGAAGGAAGAAGATAAGCCTGAAACATTGGTCATCTTTGCTGCTGCAGAGAAGCCTTGTGGGAAATTCAGAGATCATTACTGTTTGGCTTTAGGGTACATAATAGGATGCCATTTGCAGCAAATCTGCAAATTACCCCTAATTAGGTTTTCCGAGGCTAAAAAAGCAAAATAGGCTTTCCCGGAGGACATGCCAACCACGGGTAGGAGGTAACCGTCCAGAAGCTTCCGGCAGACCAGGTGGGGGGACAGTGGGAGTTGTTTGGGCCACAAATCATTCTGAAGCGAGGAATCCAAGCGCAGGTGAATAGAGCTTGCTGGAAACACACCAGCATGTCTGCAGGATCCTCACCTGCCTAGCCGCAGGTAGGTCAGCCCGGGGCGGGGTGAGGTGGGCCAGGGGCTGGAGTGCTTGTGCACACGGGAGGTGTGAGGCGGCGGCCCCTCCCCCCCCCATGCACGCCCTGGACACACCCACCATTTCTCTCCCTGAAACGAGAAGCAACAGTGTCCCTGAAATTGATGGCTCTGCCTATGGGGTTTGATGGGCTCTGCTGGTCTTGATGGATTGTTGCTATTTCCCTGGGACGGGATGGAGCTGGGAGGTGGCGCAGACTTCCCTTCCTCCCGCAGGAGATGAAGGGCAGGGTGGGGGAGGGAGGGGCAGGCCAGGCCTGGAAGAAACCAGAGAGGCCAGAGAGGTGTTGAACTGCTGACGGTAGCTCTCCCTGCCCCCCCCCAGCCCCCCGAGGGGCTGCAGCACAGCTGGGGGCAAGCAGGACGGGGAAAGGAGGAGACGGGGGGCGAGGGGCTGGACTAGAGGGACTCAGGCAGCAGCACAGAAGAACGTGGACCCCATGCACACGGAGAAGAAAATGATCTCGTGCCCCAGAGGGAAGGAACTCCAGAGGAGCCCAACCCCTTTACCTCCCTCTCCCCATTTCTGCCACCAGCCCGCCTGCTTCCCTTTTCCACACAGCAGTTAGAGCTAGCCTTAAAGAAAAAAAAATAAAAGGAAAAATACGAAGCCAGATCTATCACCCCCTCTTTGTGAGCCCTCCAGCAAACTCCCACACCTCTTAGAATATGTCCCAAATACTCACCACAGCTGACAAAGCCCTACGCCACCTGCCCTATCAGCCTGGCCTATCCGTCCCCACGCTCCGCCACGTTGGCTTTCCCATTGGTTCTTTTCCTCCAACACACTAAAGCTTATTCCTACCCCAGGGCCTTTGCACTTGTTGTGCTCTCTACCTCAAAGTCTCTGCTCCCAGCGCCTCGTGTGGTCAGCTCCTTCCCATTATTCAGAATCAAGCTTAAATATCACCAACTCAGAAAGTCCTTCCCAGACTGCCTTGTATGAACAGTACCTTCCTAGCCACCCACCCCCCCAAACCCTTCTGAGCACATATCAGTGTCTGACGTTATCTCACTTCTTTTTCTCAGTACTGCCTGTCTCCTCCACAGGACCGGGGACAAGGCTCATCACTGTGTCCCCAGCACGGGTAGCAGTGCCTGGCACTTAGTAGGTCCAGACTAGTTTCATGACAGGATCTGTCTAGCTTTGCTCTGTCAGACACTCATCCCAGGATGGTGAGAGAACGTCTAACCAGGCACCCAGTACCCAGCATCCAGCCACGGAGCCGACTCAGGAGTCAAGCAGTGTGGCCGGTTCCTTATGCTACCGGGCTCCAAGAATGTCATTCTAGTGCCTGCATTTTCCAAACCAAAAAAAAAAAGAAATCAAGGCAAAGATCTAATGACGGACACTCTCCCCCTGAGCTGTGAATTAATTGATATGAAAAGTCTTGCAAAGGAATAAAAACTAACCGACACGCAGCCACATGTTCAATAAACGGCTACGAAGAGCACAGTGGTTAGAAACGTGGACTCTGGACTTAGCGGGCCTCGGCCCAGAGCCAGGCCCAACCCCCTAGCTGCTGTGTGACTTTGGGTGAGTTCCTGAACTTCTCTGTGCCTCAGTTCCCTCCGCGGCACAGCAGAGATTAAAGCACCCGCGAAGTGGCGGTGGAACTGACATCGCCGCTGAGGTAAGGCAATAAGGATGGTGGCCGGTGCTCGGCCAGCTTTCGGTAAGTGCCACGTGGCGTGAGGGTAGTGACATGGGCATCAGACGACCGATGTCCAGGACATTCAGTCAGTAAGGCCCGTGGGCGGTGGGTCCCGGGACTGGCAGCCCAGCCCCCACAAGCTATGTCAGAGGACCCCAGGCCACTCCAAAGGAGGGGTCCATCCTGTACACGCCCCCCTCGGGCCAGCCAGGGCCCCCCCGATGGCCAGGACTGACCGCCAGCCCTTGAGCAGCGGGTGCCTGGAGCCTTGGCTTTCACCTCGCACGTGCTGGCTGAGGTGCGGCGTTCCTGCACGCTGCCTGGAAGCCTGGATTTCCACTAGATTTTTCAGCACTAGAACATTCTCAGCAAGTCACACTGGCCAAGGAATAGCTTTCCCTAAACTGTGTGAAGTGTGGGTTTCAAACTTACTTTTTAGCAGTGAGAACACATCGAGCAAACACCCCTTAGAGAGAACCCCAAAACTGAAACGAGGTCAGGTGAAGCTCATCTCCCTGGAATGGGGGAGGGGGGAGGGCTGCAAGCCCCGACTTCACACTTCCTCATTCTCTGGGGTTCCGATCCCTGACACACCTAACGCATGATCTGGTTTCATACCACAGGCTCCTCAGGCCGCTGCTGGGGCACATGGGACGGTGGCCCAAACTCTTGGACATCTTTGGATATTCTGGACTCAGTGGGGAAATATTTAGAACGAATAAATCAAGAAATTCTTTTCGGCCATTGGTAGAGGAGAGAGAGTCGCCGGCGCCATCCCATCCACACCCATACTGGACAGTCAGCATGGACACGGCTCAAAACCGCCGTGTTGAGTGAAAACAGCAGTTGCAGGAAATGCACTGTGGGATGCTAGTCACGTGTGGCACATGAACCCCACACACCACACACCTCCACGTGCCCTGTGGGCCAGAAGCCCTGAGGCCAAACTCAGGATGGTCCTTGTCTCCACGGGGGCGCAGGTAAAGCACCTGCAGCTTTCACCTGTGATTTTTATCAAGAAGGACAAAAGGGAGTCGGGCCACCAACATGACGTAGTGTTAACAGCTGTTGAATCCGGTGGTGAAAATGTGCTCTGGTAGTATTACCGTGTGGCTTCCGTATTCTTTAGTTTTCTGCAGGTTAGTGGAAAGGGGGCTGACTGATCGTGCCCCCCTCCCCAGCTCTGGGAGGGCATTTGGAGGCTGCAGGGCAGCCGCCCCTTCCCCCTCCCCCCACTTCCACACGCATTATGTCCACCCCTCCCCCACTCTGAGTGCCACTCTCCGTCCAGGGACCCCTTACCTGTCCACGGCAAGGTGCCCGTCACCAGCAGCCCGGTGCGGCTCACTGCCATTCTCCAGCCGGGCCAGCGCGTCCATGCGTTTCACCATCAGCTCCAACAGGTCACTCATCTTGCGCAGGACGCCTCGGGACTCCGGCCCACCCAGCACTGCAGATGGGGCATGGGCACGGTCAGGGTCAGGCGCAGCTGCAGTGTGGAGGGCCCCCCTGCCCCCCGTGGCCACCGGGTGTCTCAGACTCCAGCCCCACTCCCACTCCCCCAGGCCAAAGAGGGGTCAGGAGGGGCACCTGGGTGGCTCAGTCAGTTAAGAGTCCGACTTCGGCTCAGGTCATGATCTCATGGTTCATGGGTTCGAGCCCTGCATTGGACTCTGTGCTGACAGCTAGCTCAGAGCCTGGAGCCTGTTTCGGATTCTGTATCTCCCTTTCTCTCTAACCCTCCCCTGCTCACACTGTCTCTCTCTCTCTCTCTCAGAAATAAATAAAACATTTTTAAAAAAAACAACAACAAAGAGGGGTCAGGAGAGTGAGCCCTCTCCACTCCTCACCCCTGCAGGACAGAGGCAATCCCCCCCCCCCGCTTCATTGTGCTGGGGTACAGAGCCCGGGGCCAACCTGCTCCCTACCACCTGGGTGACAATGAGATCATCTTAACCTCTCTGGGCCTCTGTTTTGTTGACTGTCCTGGCCAGGCTGTTAAAATCCAGATTCTCAGGCCCTAGTCTCCGTCTGCCGATCACATCGCTGGGGCGTGGGGCCCAGGCACCTGCAGGCTGCCTGCCCCCCACGCGGTGTGCAAACACAGGAGACTTTGTGAGCCCCGGTCAAGGGGCTGGGGGCGCTGTTCTCCTGCTGGCCTCTGGGCCCCACCAGGCCCCCGCCCCACTCCTCTCCCCCAGGCCCCAACCGTCGTGAATCTGTCCTGACTCTCAGTTGGCCTTTGGGCTCCCAAAACATCAAGTCCTGGGCTGAGGGGCAAGAGAGACCTCGTGAAGAATAAAATTAACTGAAAGCAAGGGGCTTAGACCAAGATCCCATTAACCAGCCCAGATTCCTTTCTAACTGTCCCCGATCATTGGTGCCACACGCGCGAGGGTGGAGAGCGGTCCCCGCCTTCCTTTCCAACCAAATCATGTGCCAGTTTTAACGGCCCCTCCAAACGGTCCACAGGTACTGGGTTCCAGGTGCTGCGCCCCCTGCTGGGCTCCATTTTGGTCCCCAGGGGCCCGGCTCTGACCCTCTCACAGCAAAGGAGCCCCATTTACGGAGGCCTGAACGCTTCCTGGGGTTCCGGGGGGGGTGGCCTTAGGTTGGGTCCCCAGAACTGTGCCCGGGAGGGTGGCGAGGGTGCCGGGGCACGTGCACACCACCTCCTGCGGTCACTGCTGAGGGCTCTGCTCCCAGAGACTGCCAACCTCTGCTACTCTCCGCCCGCTGGGGGGGCGGCACGGCTGGTTTCAGCAGCCGCAGGAAGCCCCCCCCTTCCCCCCTCCCCCCCGGCAAAGAAGTGCAGTCACCAGGCTGGCCCGAGTGCATCGGCGTCATGAGGGCCAAGGGGTGGGGCACCAGCAGCATTCGCTTCTCAGGGAGGAAAGGCTGGGGCCCAGTGAGCTCAGAAGGGCTCTCGCCTGTCCCTGCCTCCAATCTCCGACGTGGCCGTGTGGCCAAGGGAGAGTCATGGCAACATATGGGCCTCTGCGTCCCCAACTGATGTCACAGGGCCAAGAGGGGGCAGCAGAGAGCATGGCAGGCTACGGAGAAGTTGGGGGGCAGGGGTGGGGAGGAGAGGGGAGGCAGGAGGGGGCTGATCTCCCCTGTTCCAAGCTTAGGACTGAGCTGAAGAGGGGAGGCCAAGAAGGCTTTGTGTCACCAAGGCTGCTTGTGACATTTCTGCTTGGATTGTCCCCTGTATCCCCTGGCTCTGAGCCTGGCCTGGCCCAGCGGCTGCTACCACTTCCTCTCACTGACTAAGTCACCTCCTGGCTGGGGTCCCCTGCCAGCTGAGCCCACCTGAGGGCCTGAGGTCAGAAGGGAGGCCACCAGGAGGGGGGAGGGCTCAGTCACGTGCTATGGAAGTGACAGCTGGCCATCAAGTCCAGAGCAGAGGGAGCTGCAGCTTCCTTAAAGAAGCTAGGACCCCAGGCTCAAAGCACACACACAGACACACACTGACACACACAGACACACAGAGCCGCCCAAGAACAGGGGTGGGGACGGTGCTGGAGAAAACACAAAAGACACACAGTCTCTACCCCATCTCCGCGCCAGTAGTTGAAATCACGAGAGATCTTCCCACATTTCTCCTCCTTGGAAAAACTGAGTGGATTTTTAACAAACCAGTTGGGATTAGGAAATTTCACCATTGCGTTAAGTGAAGCCAGTTTTTCCCACACTCTGCCCCGCCCCACTCACTGGGTACTCAACCAGTCAATCAATCCAGGAAGGTATATAAATAGCTTCCATTCTCTTTCAACTCCACAGAATCGGGCCAATGGTTAGTCTTTCAAATCACTCTCATCCCTGAGACCCCCACCCAAGCCCATCATCAAAATGTAACACCTGGCTCTGAAGTGATGCCTGGAGCACAGAGTAAAACAAGAGGGGGTTCCCATCATCTCAGCTAGAAAAATAAGGGACCATCAGATGATCTGATCTGGCTGCTGCTTGGTACCACTCCTTGAGTTGTGCAGTGCGTCGCCTGCACGGCCTCCCTGGGCAGCCCTCATGAGCCAATGCGCACAGCTCAAGCCGGGGTGGCCTCTTCCCCAAAGGTGTGAGATGCAAAAAGGAGAATGAGACCACGGCTGGGGACACCCTAAGTCAGAGCCCCGCCCCCCCCAGCCATGACCTGGTCAGAGCACTCAGGCCCAACGGGACCACAGAGTCTGGGCAGCAGCTGGCTTCTGCAGACGGGGCGCCCCAGCGATGCTGAACCCACGTCACTGCTTCTGGAGTGGTGCTGTGCTCCCAGGCAGGCCTCGGGCCTGGCACACGGCCGCCCCTCTCTCTGGGCTCACCTCAGGCTTCCTCCACTCCTCCTCACTGCCCGAGCCCCTCCCTGGAACCTCCCTGACGCAGCCTCCCCACAGACACACCCCGAGCCCCACTGCACAGGCCGCAAAATCGCTGCTGGGGCCAATATCTGCACCATACGACAGCCGGAGACGCGGCAACCCCAAAAGCCGAGCACAGTGGCCTGGGGCAAGCCAGAGTGGGGGTCACGAAGCTGGACTCCACCTGCTCGGCCACCAGCCGCTTCGGTGCGGCACGCAGAGGCATGCCACCCTCCCTCTCTGGGCCTCAGTTTCTCCTCCTCTAAAATGAGGGCGTTGGACTTACTGGACCCTGAGATGCTATGGGCTGGGACTCATGTTTTGGCCCTTCCCGTCTCCAGATGAGGGTCATAGGAGAAGAAAGAACTGTCCCTCTCAAAGTTGGCGGAATCCCCTTAGGGAGAGAGAGCTCAGGGTGGCCCAGAGCAGAGGGACAGAGAGAAAGCTAAATGACCCTGCGTATTCAGGTAGGAAGAGGGGAGATTCCTGGCGCAGCCTGGGAGGGGAGGAGGGAGAGCGAAGACAGGGCAGGGGTGGCGGGACAGCCAGAGGGGCTGTGCAGGGGTGGGGGGGGCACGCCAGCTGCAGGGATGCAGGAGGAAGCCGCCCTCCGCTTGCTCTGCTGAGCAGTGGTCGCAGCGCCCGTGCCGTTAACCCCCACCTCTGTGCAGGGGCTTCGGGGAAAGCGTGTCCTTCCCTCTAGGTCAATGCCAGGGACATAGAGGACACAGGAGGGAGACACAGATCAGAGCAAGAGGTGTCCAGGGAAACAAAAGCCCCCCAGAAAGTCCTCAGAGATATATGGGGCTCTGGATTGCCCTTCATAGGAAGGATTAATTCTTTAAAAATGTCAACAGAGGGGCGCCTGGGTGGCTCAGTCAGTTGAGCGTCCGACTTTGGCTCAGGTCATGATCTCACGGTTTGTGGGTTCGAGCCCCGCGTTGGGCTCTGTGCTGACAGCTCAGAGCCTGGAGCCTGCTTCGGATTCTGTGTCTCCCTCTCTCTCTGCCCCTTCCCTGCTCATGCTGTCTCTCTCTCTCAAAAATAAACAAAATTAAAAAAAAATTTTTTTAAATGTCAACAGAAAGGGTGACCTCAGGAGACCCAGGGGCTTAGGGACGTGGCTAAGGAGACAGACTGCCCCCTTTCCGATGAGTCTGTAAGGCTAATTCCATCAGACTAGACCAAGACTGCAAGATGGTCCCCAGCCCCTGGGGGGCTCAGGGCGGCCCCTGCTGTCTGCAAATGACACAGACGGGCAGTCCCTGAGGCCTCGGCGGCAGTCCCCACCACTTCCCGAGGAGCTCCTGGAGCACCCGGCTAGCTCCCTGGCTGCCACCACCCACCCAGGGACCGCTGGCGGAGCAAGCTCCTGCCGTGGCTGGCCCTGAGTCACCTCACCACTCTCGGTGTCGGCTGAATTGAAAGGTATTTAATGTGAGGCCCCAGAGACACAGCTCAGAACTCACACGCGTTTTCTCCATATTTCCACATAAACAAGGAAAGCTGGGATGCCAGGAGATACAGAGAGAGGTGCCTGATTTCCCACCCGGGGCCCCTCCGCTCCCCTCCCCGGACACACTGTGTCTGTCTGTCTCTCCCATCCTCCCTTGTCCCCACCCCACCCTTTCTCACTGGGTCCTGGAAATGGAAGGAGCCCCGGGAAGAGACCTCCCTGACCCACCCATCTATTACAAGCTTCTGAGAGAAAGAGCCCCCTAGCACCGAGGTCCGAGGCCAGAGACAGCCACAGAACAAGGAAATGTTTCTCTGATGTTCCCCAAGTTCAAATCCTGGCGGGGGGGGGGAGGGGGGCGGGCTGCGCAGGAAGGTCTGGCAGGGCGAGGCCACGCAGTAACCCTGCGTCAGCCACATCGATGAACCAAGGCCCCTGCCTACAGGCCTCTCCCCAGAGACGGCCTCCGACACCTGCTTCTTCAAGTCAACACAGAGCCAGGAATGCACAGGCTCAGGGAATCTCTAGCAACATCGGGAAGGAGGCTTCGATGCAACTTCGCATCCGGCCCCCTGTCGCAGGGAAGAGGGAGGGGCATGCAGAAAACCCTCCCCCAGGGCCCAAGCCACTTGCAGCTAGAGGGAATGAGGTTAGACTTCTCCCAGTCCTGCTCCCCACCAGCTTTCTCCCTGAATCGGCAGACGAGTGCATAGAATATAGAAGGGGATTTTTATCCCCCAAAGAGAAAACTTCATTACAAAATATAATCTGGCCTAGAGGGGTATCTGGGGCCCCCCCAGGGAGATCGCCGTCCACAGAGGCTACGGCCAGCCCCTCCTTTTGGAGAACACCCTTCTTCCACCCGTCCCCCTCCCCAGCCTAGTCCTGGGGTGACCCACTTCCCTCCCAGGCTTCACAGGCCGGGAGAGGGCAGACTGTTTCTGCAATTGGGCTCAGATGGTTCTGTTGACCGATGCACGGATTTTTTTTGTTTGTTTCCTAAATGGCAGCGCCTTCCTGGGTTTCCTTCTCCAGATTCTGCCCTGGGGCTGCTCAAACACCAGGAATAGAAGGCTGCAACAACCCCACCCCGCCCCTGCCCTCTGGGGTCCCTCCCCAGGCCCCTCCCGCCTGCCCCCTCCAGCTCATCTTTTGCTCAGGTGGCTCCTCCTAGCCTTCCCCTCAGGGCTGCTCGGGGCACAGTGTGGGGGTGTCATCTGAGGAGGCGTGTTCTGCAGGATCGGGATTTTAAACCCACAAGGTAAACCTGGGCCTCTTCCAAGTCTCTGCTTTGGGCATCTCCAAACAAATCAACTTAATCCGTGAAAGAAATGGGGGGTGGGGGGAGGGAGCAATGAAAATTGGGATATGAACTGAGTCAGGGTCAGTTCTCCAGGGTTCTGATGCCTCCCTCCTCACCCATCTCTTGCCCCCCCGCCCCCCGCCCTCCACCCACCTGTAGGTCCATGTTCTGAGAGCTTAGTTTCCAGCCTGGGGACCCGGGGAATGTGACACCGTTTCGACTAGGCTGCAGTGGCTCGGAGAACTGAAGTCACAACCCCCAGGAGACCCGGCAACTTCACTCTCTGGTGTGTACCCTACAGAAATGCCTGCGTGTGTCCCCCAGAAGACAGGTGCCAGAATGTTCCCAGCAGCGCTATCCACACAGACCCAAACTAGAAACAACGCAATGCCCACCGCCCCAGGAGTGGATAAACATAACGTGATGCAGTCACACAATGGAATTCACACAACAGCTGTGAAGACAAATGCCTACAACCACACACCAGGAGATGGGCGACTCTCACAAACAGAGTCATGAGAGGAAAAGGCACACACAGAATCCGCACAACGCGATTCCACCCTACGACAGCCTGAAGAAGACGCACAACCCCTCTGCGCTGGGAGAAGGTATGGTCCGGACATCCCTGGGGCAGTCGTCAGCGGGAGGGGCCGTGAGGGCACTTGGGGGGGGGGCGGGGCGGGGCTGAGCACGTTCTGTTCTTTGATCTAGGCTGCTGGGTGCATGGGTGCGTTCAGTCTGGGGATACTACACTCCACTAGAAAGTGTAAGCGTGTGCATGGGTATGCGTGCACACACAGACACACACATGCCTCTAATCTAATTGCATGACCTTGGGCGAGTCCTCTGCCCTCTAGGGCTCTGCCCACCCCTAGGACACAGATCTGGTTGGCGCTGGACTCCTGCCACCTCTACAGGCAAAACTGCAGAGGGGCACCTGTGTGGCTCAGTCGGTTAAGCGTCCGACTTCAGCTTAGGTCATGATCTTGCAGTTTGTGGGTTCAAGCCCCGTGTAGGGCTCTGTGCTGACAGCTCAGAGCCTGGAGCCTGCTTTGGATTCTGTGTCTCCCCTTCTCTCTGCCCCTCCCCTGCTCATGCTCTGTCTCTCTCTATTTCTCAATAATAAATAAATGTTAAAAATTTTTTTTTCAAAACTGCAGAGTGCATGCACAGCAGGGCTTCTGCAAGCCCCCCGGCCACTGGACCCAGCCCTGGCCAGGGAGATGAGCAGAAGGACCAGAGCCCAGACATATGTCCCTTCTCCCCCAGCCCCAGTTCCCACCTTCTTGGATCCCTAACCTTTCCGGAGGTCCAGCCTCCTCAAGCCCCTCATCCTAGCCACGGACAGACACGCCCCCTCTCTGGGAGTGGCAGCCAGGTAGTATGAGCATCCATCCGTGCACCCCACCTTCTCACGCTCCACCTCTCTACTCACCCACCCCCACCCATGACCTCATAGCCCTCCCCAAGCTTCCCCTCAAGTGTGCCTTCACAATGGCCCCGCCCTTCCTCTTCCAGCCTCTATGCACGCGTATCTCCAGTGTAGAAATCCCAGCACCTCCTCGGCCCTTTTCCCTAAACAACCTTTTCTGCACTGTCCTGTGTCCCCGTCTCAGACTGAACACCTCCAGTAAATATGGATGGAGCATGCACCATGTGCCAGCTGCTTCGAGAGCCCCTTCACGTGTGTAACCTTAATACCACTCATGGCCACCCTGGGAGCGCAGGTATCGTCCTCATTTATCGGAGGAGAAAACGGGAGCTCGGGGAGACTGAAGCAAGTCTCTGCAAATCAGAGCTGGGATACATTCATTTACATCCAGGCTTGAATGACTAATAAATGTGAAATTCCTGCCAGGGGCTTTTGCAAGTGTAAAGAAATACATGTGAAACCAAAGGAAGAAATCTAATGATGAGACACCAGATGGCCTAACCAGGGCCCCTGAGAGCATCCACCCTGAATGACAGCCCATTCTACTTAGGGTACATTTGCCATTGGGAATAGGGGAGCCACATAGCTGAGCCCTGGTGGGAGGCGGGGGTGGGGGGATGAGGAAGTGGACTTCAGACAGAGATCTCTGCAGAGTAGCCCACCGAGCCAGCCTGATGAATAGTTCCAGAAGCCTCATCTGTCTCAGCTGCCCCACTAAGTTGGGTTCCTCCTGCCCACGGTCACCAAAAGAGCCTCTACACTGTTCACCACTCTTAGACCTCGAGTAGGAAGAGAGGGGAAGAGGGCCATCTTTGGGGTATCTCCCTGGTCATGGCCCCGTCATACCCCCAATGAGCTCATTCAGTCCAGCCCCCGAAGATGGTCATTATTGTCCTTCTCCGTAGGTGAGCTAAGTGACTTGGCCAATGGCACGCCGCCAGGAGATAATGAACCAGGGTACAAACCAGGTCCATCTGGTCCCCAAAGCCCATGCTCTGAATCTTGTTCGACTCCCTCACATGTATTACGTGGGCAAGGAGCCACGAAGGTCCGGACTGGGTCCCAAGAGCTCAGATACGAGACACACGAGCCATGGATGGTCTTCCCTCTGACTCTGGCCCCCACCTCCCACCCCCTGAGCAGTGGCCGCAGCCTGGGTCAAAAGCACAGAGAATATGTGTCTCAAAGGGACAAGTGTCATATTCAGAAACATTCCCCCCTCCCCCAACACACACACTAAGGAAACAACTCAAGCAGCCTCTTCTGATGCCTGGGAGATCTCAACTCAAAGGCCCTTTCCTGGCCTGAGAGTCTTCTCCAGAAGAAGCCTGATGATCACAGCTGGCACCAAAGCCAAAGCAGCGTGCAAGGTCATGCGGCGCAAGCCACGGCCCCTTCCCACGCACACATCCGTAGACGAGACAGAGACCCAGAAAGTCCCTTGAGCTTGCTAGGTTCAAAGGCCTCCTTCTCCCCAGCCCACAAACCCCCGCACCCATTTCTGACTCGCCTTTCCCCAGCAAGATACCTTCTGTGCGGATGGTGAAGGGGGAGTCCCCCGGGCGCCGCGTAGAGAGCTGGCCTCCCAAAGACGTCATCAGGAAGCACAGTGAGAAGAAGCCGATGCCCAGGACGAAGAGCCTGCAGTGAACAACAGGGCGGGTCGGAAACAGGTCGGCGGAACGCACCCCGACCCAGCAAGGGCCCTGTACAAATGACTGGGTGAGGGCGTGCGGATGAAACGGGGCTGAGCTCCTGGCCAGGTCTCTCGTCACTGCAGAATAAAGACAGCTTGACTACAGGGAGCTGGCCACGAGCCTCACACAAAACCCCAAGGGACAGTGATACAGGCAGAGATCAGGCCAAGTTCAAGACTCCAGATAGAGCCTGGCTCATTAAGCAGAGGTCCTCAATGTGCGGTCCCCAGGCCAGCGGCAACAGCATCACCTTGGAATTGCTAGAAATGCAAAGTCTTGGGCTCCAATCGTAGGCTTACTGAATCAGTCAGGGGGTGGTGCAAAGCAACATGTTTTAACAAGCTCCCCAGGCAACCCTGATACATGCTGAAGTTTGAGAACCACCGGTGTCGATGAAACAGCAGGACCCGATGCCAGCCAGAGGGCAAGGGATTGGTCCAGACAAAACCCACCTGGATCCCATCAATCACCTGGGCTCAGCTCAGCTCTGTGCACACAGGTCTTGCCAAGGCCATCAGTCATGAGCTGGCTCAAACACCTCCTTCTCATGTTCGAGGCGGGTGGCGTGTGCCTCCTCCATCCCTCCCAGAGGGTACAATCTACAAGGCCAGAGCCATGTAGCCGCCTTCTGGGCCCAGACTATTCCTGACCCACATCTTCACCAGGCAGGCACACAGTCGTTGGCAGCTGCTGGACTGATTGGTCGGGGTGAGTGGACACCTGTGCACGGGGTGGCGTCTGGGGAGCACATTACCGCACAGCTCAGGACCCAGCTGGCCCAAACAGGACTCTTGTTCATTCCTTCAACACATAGTTGATTATTTCCCAAGTTCCTGCTATTTGCATACTCGGTGCTGAGCCTCCAATAAGAGACTGAGCTAACCGGCACCATCTCAGGAAGGCCAGAGGTGGCAGCTTTTCGGGGACCTTGCATGTATCAGAGGACTTGCAGAGCTGAAAGGGGAGCCCCCCGTCTGGTCAGAGGAAGGGACTCCACCTCCTGTGGAGCCAGGCTCACCACAGGGAGCCCCAAAAGTCCTGCTAGAGACCTCCAGCCCTCTCACCTCCACCCGCCACCCTCAGCCCCACATTTCTTTGTATCGCCATGCAAGGCTTGCTTTATGCATTTTTTTAAAAAAATTTTTAATGTTTTATTTATTTCTAGGAGAGAGACAGTGTGAACAGGGGAGGGTCAGAGACAGAGGGAGTGACAGACTGAAACAGGCTCCAGGCTCTGAGCCGGCAGTCAGCACAGAGCCCGACGCGGGGCTCGAACCCACAAACCACGAGATCATGACCTAAACGAAAGTCGGACGCTTAACCGACTAAGCCACCCAGGCGCCCCCTTGCTTTATGCATTTTAATCTTCATTATTTGAAGCTGTCAGAGCAGTATTTAATTAAAACTTGGCCCATTAAAGAAAACACACGGTTGCAGAAGAAAATAAAAGCACAACAAAATTCCCCACCCCATATTTAAATGAAGCTGTTAGAGATTAAATTGGAGACAGAGAACAACCTCAAAGCAGAGAAAGCACTGGGGGCTTCCCCCAGGAGGTGACAGAGAGGACAGGTGAGATGGCACAAGGCACTGCTCCCTCCCCTCTGAGGGTCCCTCACTGTATTCCACCGAGCTTGAGGATGGGTCCCTGGGACCCCAAGATAAAGCCAGGTTGGTCTCAGGACAGCAGCCAGAGAAACAGTGTAGGAGGTGGGGGGCGGGGGGGGGGTTGTTCACTCAGGAAGATTCTGAGAATCAACTGTTGTCCCCTCAGCTTGAGGACAAGGACGGATTCCTCAAGTTTATTGTCTCTTGCTCCCTCAAACCCCCTCCCCAGCCTTGGGATTGTATTTAGAGCTGGGGACCTGGGCTGCAGGGCCCCCAAAAAATCTGCCATGAGAATGGGATCTAAACTTTTAGCCCAGAATCTGAAACCCCAAACACACCTTATCTGCATCTCTCTCTCTCTGCCAGACCCCAGTCCCAGGGCCATTTATGGTGGACTCAAGTTAAAATGGTTTTGTCCGCCCATGTATCCATTCAAAGAATATTCCAGGAGCAACTACAGAAAGAAGCTCTGGGAAAACTAAAGGGAACAGGGCTCCCAGCCTGCCCTTAAAAATTAGCAAGTAGAGGTGATGTGGTTAGAGGCCAGCCCCGGGATGTCTAAAGGGCACATGAGGACTCCACTGCTGGCTGTGAGTTCCTGGGAGCCTAGGGAGACCCTCGGTGAATATACAGAACTCGAGGGGAGGGGAATCTATGCAATAGCACCTCTGAATCCTGGCTTCAGATAAGAGCCTGAAAGAGCCAGGACCCCAAAGGGAAGCGGCTCTGGGGAGCGGGCGCTGTCCATGGTGCTGGATCCAACAGCCCCCCTCCAATTGCACCAGAAAATGTCCAGCCAGAGCTCAGGTGGTTTGGCAGACCTTTCCATGACCTGGGGGGCGGGAAGACATGGGGTGGCAGAGACGGGGAGAGGACCCTCTCCACGGTCAACGTCAAACAGGATTTCGCTGGAGGAGTAAGGCCCTTTCCCGAGACACCCACTTCCCGCCCTTCTTCCCAGGCTAACCTTGGGTCAAGCCACCCCGCTGTCTCCTGCCCAAGGCCGTACCCTTGAGACCACTAACTCTACGATCCTCCCCTCCCGCATCCTCCAGACACCAGACACCAGACACCGGCGGTCCATCGTGAGCCCTGCCGTCGGGAAGGCAGTGTGCTCAGCTCCACACTACAGGCCCAGCCCATCCAAGGGCTGGAGGTGTGGTGGGGAGGCCAGAGACACCTGAGCCTCGGTCTCTCCGTCTGGAGCTGGGAGGGAGACCTGATGGAAGGGGCGGGGACTCTGGCCAAAGGCCTGGAGGGGAGGGGCTCAAAACTGGACCCTCCTGCAGCCCCCCTGCGCCTCTTCCTGCCTCGTACCTGCCCCAGCGGAAAGGACCCTCCTCCACACCGACCCTGTGGCCCCAGCCCGAGGGCGACCACCGCCCGGCCCTCCCGCTCCCTCCGCGGCCTCTGCCATCCAACTCCCCCCCCGCCCCGGGCAAAGTGGCTCTCCGACCCCGCTGGGCACCCACGGCTTAACATCTCCTCCCCAACCCCGGCAGCAGGTGGACTCCGCGGGGTCTAGGGAGAGCAGCCCCGCTGGGGTCTGGGGGCCCCTGGGATGGGTTCATCAGAGCTCAGCCAGCCCCGCGTGGCCCCAGCTAGACTTGACCTAGACTCGGCCGCCCGAGGTTGGGGTGGAGGGTGGGGGCATCCTGCCTGCACGTTCCCAGAGGTCCCGGCTCCCGCTACCCTAGCGCCCCACAGAGCCGCCCCTGCCACCAACTCTCCACCACCCCCAGCGGGGGGGGGGGGGGNTGGAGGGTGGGGGCATCCTGCCTGCACGTTCCCAGAGGTCCCGGCTCCCGCTACCCTAGCGCCCCACAGAGCCGCCCCTGCCACCAACTCTCCACCCCCCCCCGGGGGGGGGGGGGGGGGGCGGGGCGGTGGCGAGAGGGTTGTCCTTGCTCCAGTTTCGGGGAACCTTCCGTTAGAGACAGGCCCGCACCCGGCCGCGCGAAGGGGGGTGCGAGCAGAGGGCGAGGGCAAGGCGGTGGCAGAGGTGGCCGACGGAGCCCGGAGCTCCACTCACATGCCGGGTGGGGAAGCCTCCCCGCCCAGCGCACCAACTTCGCCGCCGGGGTGGGGCCGGCTGAGAAGTGGGGAGAGCCCCGAGGGGCGCGGAAGGGGCACCCTGGCGGGGGCGACTCCCCGAGCCCAGGGCCGCAACCCGCGTGCGTTCTGTCCCCGTGGCCATCCTCGCACCCCGAGTCCTCTCCAACTCCGGACATGTCTCAGAATTACACGCCCCTCCCCACCCGAACCCGAACCTCGCCTCCATCCCTTTTACAGCCCCACGGGCCATCAGCAACGCGAGCCGCCCCCCTTCTCCCGCTGGGGCGCGCACCCTCGCGGGGAACGACCTCGCCCCCGACCCCTACCCCGCGCCCCCTCGGATAAAAAGACCTCCCGGCGCCACCCGGGAGAGAACTTTACCGAAAGGGTCTCAGGGTGACCAGGCATCTTCTGACCATTATCTTCCCCTCCGGGTTGACTGCGATCATTGTTCAAACTTGTCTGGGCGAGGAGCCGCGGGCAAGGCCGGGCGCCCCGTCCCGGGCCCTGCTCCCGCCGCGTCCGGGCCGCGAACCCGCGGCGAGCCGAAGCCGGGTCTGAGCGAGGCGGCGGTGGGCGGTGGGGGGCTCGGCGGCACGCGCGGCTCGGGGTCGGCGCGGCCTGGGCGGGCGGGGCAGGGGAGCGGCGCGGCTGCCGGAGCGCGGCGAGGGCGCCCAGCCGGGCCGTCTCTGCGTCTCCGCCCTCCCCGCTTCACATCTCCAGGGCCGCGCGTCTGCCTGCTGGGGCTCGCTCGCTGGGCGGGACGGCGCCGCGGCGCGCAGACGGGCTCCCCGCCGCGGGCGCCCTCATCCCCGGACCCGCGCCCGCGGTGCCGGCTAGAGGCTGCCCCGGGCCCGCGTCCCGGCCGCCCGAGCCTCCGGGCCGCGCCGCTCCCGGGCCCCGCGCCGCGCCGCGCCCATGGCTCTCGGCGAGGGCGCCCCGCGCTCGCCCTGCCGCGCGCTCGCTCGGCTGCCCGCGCTCGGGTGTCGGGCGTCCGGCGTCCGGCGTCCGGCCCCGCGCCGCGCTACGCGGGGAGGCGCCGCATTGTTTCCTCGGAGGCGGCGGCGGAGCGGCTGCTGGGGCGGCCCGGGAGCAGCCGCCGCGCTTCCTCGGCGCGCCGGCGCCACCTCGTGGCTGCGGCCCGGCAGCGCGCCCTCTCGGCCCGGGTGGGTGGGCGGGGGTCCCTGCTCCTCCCCCCGCCCCCCAGCTTTGCAACCTCCCCAGCGCGGCCTTCGGGAGCGTCGGCGGGCCCCCAGCCCCGCTTGGGCTCCTGTGGAGCACAGAAAAGGTTGGCGCTGGGAGAAGACCCCCACCCGCCCCTTCCTCCGGTGTCTGGGCCCTTCCTCCAGTCTCTGCCTCTGCCCCTCCCTCCCCCGGTGGGCTTCTGTCCTGGCCCCTTCACACCACCTCCGAAGTCGCTTTGCAGCCCTCACCCATCCTCTGGCCCTCTCTGGTCAGAAACTGCAGCGGCTCCCCTTTGCTTACTGAGCTAAGTTCAAACTCCGCCTCTCAAGCTTAGGCGCATCCACTGAGCCCAGAAGCCAAGGCGCGCTGTGCAGACCCGGGCTCTAGTCTCAGACATTCGGTGAACAAGTGGGTGACGCAGGCAGATCAGGGAGACTGCAGAGCCTTGGCTTCTCCACTCTGAAATGAGAGTGACCTGAAGTTGGCTAAAGCGGCTCTTTCCAACTCTGTAATGCATTTACATGCCTTCGACCCCAACCCCCTCTGCTTCTTGACTTTGGAGATGTTTGCCACTGCAGGAACCCGTCAGCAGCTTCTACCAGCCCACAGGCCAGTGCGGCTCCCAGGGCCAGGCCTGCATCTGACAAAACATTCAGGCAGAAACAGCACGTGCCAGACCAGACCTTGACCCTGAGGACATAGAAGCACCTGCTGGGAAGAGCCCACCGCCTCAGGCCACGTTAAAAGGATCTGATGATCCTGAGAATCTTTCCACCGCTGGTAGTGATTCCTGGTAGTGATTCCGCAGCCTGGTTGAGAAGAGGAGAGAACCTTTCTTCTCACCCACCCGGCCCTGGTCCCCTCCACCTGGGGCCCTCACCCCCTTCCCCTTTGCCAGCGCACCCCCCGGGCTGTACTTCTGAGCCACTCCTCACCAGCAATGACTCCTGCCCCTGCTTTTTCCGCCCCTTCTTCATCAGAATTCACCTGTCCCATGGTCTATTATCTCATCGCCTTGCTCTCTGCTAATGTGAAAGCCAATGATGAATTGGTGTTGGCGGATTAATGTGTTACTCCAGCTAGGTAGCAAATTTGCATGGAACAAGGACATGTCGACCGAGCCTCCGTGCAGAGAAGTGATGGATGGTGGCGGGAAACTCAGGCATCGTGGCAGGCTGGCCTGAGAGCCATCTGAGGGCAGGGGTCTCTGCCAGGCCCACACTCGCCACACACCCAGGCACTAATTCAAGCCCTGGATGTCAAGGTGAAAGCCATATCTACACTTGGGAATGAAAGGGCCCCTCTAAGAGTCTCATGTGAGCTTAAGGGTTATGCTTTTGGCACTTCCAAAGGGGAGGAGGGGTACAGCCATGTCTGGTTTGGCTCAGAAGGTGGGGGAGGTTCTTCCCGACCTGCTCTGGGCCTTCCCTTCCTGCATGTGGGCTTTGAGGTGGGCAGGGGAGAGTGCCCGCGGCCATTCGACAGCTTGCTGCGGCCAGGCGGGGAGACGAGGAGCAGTCAAAGATACCCTCTGAGCCAGACCAGCGAGCCACCTCCTTTCAGACTGTTCCCTTCTGTCAGCCTCTTGCCTACAGCCCAGATCCGTGTAAAAGGTCCTGCTCGCTGCCTGTTGTAGACATTAGGAGGAAGTTGTGAATCTCGGGTCATGAAACCTCAGACATACCCTCTTTATGCCTCAGCTTCCTTGGCTGTCAATCAGGCTCTTTTTTTGAGATAGATAGAAGAAGAGAGAGAGAGTGCAAGTGGGGAAGGGGCAGAGAGAGGGGGTGACAGAGGCTCTGAAGTGGGCTCTGTGCGGACAGCAGAAAGCCCAATGTGGGGCTCAGACTCAGAAACGTGAGATCATGACCTGAGCCAAAGGCAGACGCCTGACCGACTGAGCCACCCAAGCGCCCCTCAATCAGGCTCTTTAGGGGGACCTGAAAATTAACTCATGGATGCCTGTAAACAGCCACTGCCTGGCGCCTATGAGCCCTCACGGCATGGCGGTTATGCTTTGTCTTCTTTTTTTTTTTTAATTTTTTTAATGTTTTATTTATTTCTAGGAGAGAGAGAGAGACAGCATGAGCAGGGGAGGGTCAGAGAGAGAGGGAGTCACAGACTGAAACAGGCTCCAGGCTCCGAGCTGGCAGTCAGCACAGAGCCCGACGCGGGGCTCGAACCCACGAACCGCGAGATCATGACCTAAGCGAAAGTCGGACGCTTAACCGACTAAGCCACCCAGGCGCCCCTATGCTTTGTCTTCTTACTGTCTGCCTGTTGTGGATGCTGCGGGGCCCTCCCAACATCCCTCAACATCCGCATCTGCAGGCCGAAAGGCAAGTTACTGACAACACATGCAACACGGCCCGAAGCTTTATTTCTGACTGTGCGAATATGCTCGAACACGCAAGAGCAAGACAGAAGCTCGAGGAAATCGACGCCCTGGTGCAGCCCTCGAGGAATGGACAGATACCCCTCTCCCGCTCCCGCAGGGGGAGTGCTCCCAGAGCTTCCCTGCCCACAGCAGCAGCTGGCTCCATAGCGCACCCCATGCTGGCTTCCTTCCCTTCCCGGCCTCATCCTCTACTCTTCTGTCCATGGTCCTGGGGTCACCTCCGAAATAAACCACTGCCACTCGCATCCTTGTCTGAGAATCTACTTCCAGGGAACCCGAGCCAAGACCCTGCCCTACAGGCCAGCGGCTCTCAGCCCTGACTCAGCAGATTCACCTGCAGAACGTAATGAAACAGAAACTCCCCGCCCTGGTTCGGTATGAAGATGGGGCCGGGGCACATTTGGGTTTTGTTAATGCTTTAGGTTATGTCAATGTAACCGGCCAGGGTGGAGAGCCATGGCCTTCGGAGAAGGAGGCAGAGTCACTCCGAGCTAGAAGGGATTAGGGAGCAGGAATTGGGGGCACACGTGCTGGGGGCCCCACACCCAAGGACTGACACAGCAGGTGTCTAAAAGCATCCCCTTTCCGCTGTTTTTCTCTCTCAAGGCTACAAACAGAACCACGAGCTAGGCTGACACGGGTGTCGGGGTGTAGCTCTGCACCAGCCTGGACAATCTGAATATGGGCACTTCCTGGCTGTCCCCCGCTGCCCTCCACGCGGGCCTGCGGCCTGGCTGGAGGGTCAGAAGCCCAGGGCAGCAGGATACCCTGGCCAGGCTGGAGAGCCTCTGTCTGAAAACAGGGGAGCAGGACTCTGGGGAAGGGATTTGGGGGAAGTGGGTGATGCACTATTGTGCAGGGGTGCATGCTCAAAGTACCTGGGGGGTAGTCCAGGCGAAGAAGGGAAGGGACTCCAGTGGTCTCCAGGGTCTACCTCAAACCGAGGGCTTAAAACAGGAGCAATTGATTCTCTCTCCCAGTTCTGGAAGCCAGAAGTTCTAGATCAAGGGCTTGGCAGAGCTGGTTCCTTCCAGAGGCCCCGAGGAGGAATCTGGGTCCCGGGACGGGGGCGGGGGCGGGGGGGGGGGGCAGCGACCCTTGGCCGGCAGCTGCATCACCTAGCCTCTCCTCCATTGTCACATGGCCTTCCCTGTGTGTGTCTCGCTGTGTCCTCTCCTCTTTTTATAAGGACACCGGTCATTGGGTTAAGGACCCACCCTACCACGGTATGACCTCATCCTAAGGAATTACATCTGCACAGATCCTATTTCCAAACCAGATTGTGTTCTGAGATTTCAGGCGGACATGAATCTGGGCAGGGGAGGGGGAGGAGCACATAGTGTTCAATCTATTACAGGGACCTAGTGGGAAGGGGCCGGAGGGGTTAGGCATTGCCAAGAACCCAAGGTCCCCCAGGGGACACGAACCGTTGCCTTGTGTGAATATGGATCCAGTTATTTCAAGAGTCGGAAATCTGGACTTCCCACAAGCAGTCGCATAATTGTCAAACGTGGACTCGGTATTTTTAGAACATTATGCAAGACCAGTAAAACCACTGGAGGCCTGCTTTCCGGGTCCCCTGGGGTGTCAGCACGGGGCAAAGCAGGGAGCTCACCAGCCCTGACCGCCACAAGCCCTGCTTCTCTAGGGCCCCACTGCAAGCACCTCTCGCTGCCCTTGGAGGAAGGTCAGCACTCCTACATGCACTCAGGGGCTCCCCGAAGACCCCCTGCCTTCTCCCTGTCCCCCCCACCAAAACCTCTTGGGCATATTGGAGCCTTGATACGCCCCACCCCCCCACCCACCCTTCTCAAGGCTTCAAGGTTGCTTCTGGAGCTCCCAGACAGGCCTGGGTGGAAAGAGGAAAAAAAAGAAACACACAGTTGACGGTTTTTGAAATCCTCATTTAATGTGCTCCGACTGCAGCAGCAGACAGCACATTAAGA